TTTTTTTTTTTTGTGTGTGTGTGTGTGTCTCAGAATTGTCCTCATCTGAGAAGCAGCAACCTCCAAACACAACTGATGTGCTGCTGCAAAAGGGTCACTTCAGTCAGCAAACATCTTAGCATTTCATGGTCAGCAATAATCTCTGCAGAGAGCCAAGGCTCAACAAAAAGCTTAGTGTTTTTTTTTTTGTTTTCATCTCAGTTCAGAGCCTGCAGGAATAAGGTTGATTGATTTTTAAGCATTGTTTCTGCTTTTCGTTTTATATTTTTGAAAATGAAGTATGTATCAACCCATCTGTGTTACATTTTATATTCTTATTGTAGCCCACATTACTGTATTTGATAAGAAATGCAGTCAAAATGATATAATGAAGCCACAAAAAACTAGACAGACAAAAAAAAAAATATATGTATATATATATATATATATATATATATATAAATATATATATATGTCAGAGTCAGAGTTTCTTTATTGTCATTCGTGACATATGTGTGTGTGTGTGTGCTAATATGGTAATACAAACAGTTGTTTAATACATGTTTTTATCTCATATTCAAATTTGAGTATACCACTATATGCTTAGACACGCTGATGCGTCTTATATAAATAATTAAATGTATAAATAACATTATAAACATTGAACTTATATATGATCTTGAACATTCAGTTACTTTTCTGTTTCCCTATATATATTGACGAGTGTGTAAGAGACTGAATTCTCTGTGTTGTCACAGCTGAACATCATGATCTTGACTTCAAGTCTAACGTCCTCATTTTGGGCAAATCCCACCATATTCCCCTAGCTGCTTTGTTGCACTGCCATGCCCTCTGGCATACATCAGTGCAAGGAAAAAAAAAAAAACGAAAGAGAAGAGAGGGGATAAAGCTTGGAAAGGAAAGGTTTTTATATATCCTCCCTTCTCATGCTTCGGCATACTTTGATCTCATTCCTGTCCGTGCTGACTATTTGCAGTTGGTGGGATGTGGCACCATGCTGGGTCTCTGGTGAGACCTGGCTCTGGTTGTCGGGAAAGAAAAAGTGACTGTGTCTGAAATGAAATTTGGAAGTCTATGCAAGCATGTCTGTGTGTTGAGGAGGAGGAGTTTGCCTGCTGGTTGATAAAGACATCAAAGCTTATGAATTATATGATTTTACATTCTGTAGCTGGATCAATCCCCATCACTTTAGAGCTCTACCAACACAGAAAATACAACATAGCCAACTGCTTAAAACTAAAATATCATCCAAATTTGTCTCAGCATGAAAGAAATAAATGTCCTGTTTGAAAACTAGAAAATTGTCTTTACAAACATTGTGGCCCAATTTGCAGTGTATAAATGATACAAATGAGCATTTTGTTTTTTTCCCATGATTTCCATCCATCCATCCATCCATCCATCCATCCATCCATCCATCCATTATTTTTACCCGCTTCTTCTTTTTCGGTTTAAGGGAGTCACTGATGCCCATATCCAGCAGTCACTGTGTGAGCGACAGGGGACACCCTGGACAAGTTGCAAGTCCATCACAGGGACACATGACGACAAATGAGACAAACAACCTTTCACTCTCTCACTCACACCTAGGGACAGTTCAGTTACCAATAAGCCTAACATGCATATTGATGGTCTGTGGGAGGAAAGAGAGTACCTGGAGAACTCCACACATGCATGGAGAGAACATGCAAACTCAACCCAGAAAGGTTCCCCGGCCAGGATTTGATCTTGTGACCTTCTTATATCTACATACATACATACATACATACATACATACATACATACATACATGGATAGGAAGGTAGGTAGATGGATGGATGGATGGGTAGGTAGATAGACAGATAGATAGGTAGGAGTGGTTATATAGTTTATTTGCTTTGCATTGTACTCAAAATATATGTATTTGTTTTAATGTTGACATTCAGTTACGTACTGTTATATAAAAACAATTTTGTAAAGTTGAGTAATGACTAATAGAAATAATTGTTTAAATCATGAAGCAAAAATGCAGAATTACAAAATATGTACATAAACCTTTTTTTTTTTTTGTCTGACTTTTTAAGCAAGACCACATGTAATCAATCATGTGTCCTGTGGGGAAACACATGACGGACAGGACATTTGTTTCCATTGTTACCACTGCCTTATCCTATTTTTTTACCTTTTCAGAGCTGTGTCTTTACCATTCACTGTGGTGCAGGGTGTTTAAATTGACTGTTGGCTTGTTTCTTTAGGTGTTTAGAGTCTTCTCGTCCAGAAAGTGTCCGACCCTGTTTGCTTCCCTGCACAAAGGACTGCATAGTGACTCCCTTCAGTGAATGGACACCCTGCCCATCAGCCTGTCTCACAGGTAGCTCTCCTTGTGGATTTCTCCATAAAGTCATTTTAGAAACTGCTGTCTAAAAGCTAGTTAACCACTTGAGAATCAGTCAGTAATTTAATTATGTCTATAACATTTTTCTCAAGGACGTTTTAGAATGTCAACATTTTTAAATGGTACATTATAACCTTTTTTTAACAGAAAAAGAAATCAACTTAATGGAGATGCATTATTTAAATGTTCAAAAAGTATATATTTTTTAATTCTTAAACATGTTTATAATTCACATAACTTGCACACCTGTATGGAACACAATATTGGAAAGTGTTTAGCAGATGACACTTTGTTAACATCAACAGTGTTTTCAGTGAAATGAACCAAATTGTCACATAAACGTGCTCCGGAGTGGTTAATAATGATCTTTAACTGCAAGTGATATTAGCAAATGTTTATGACATTAATCTGACATATCAAGAGTAAAATTGATGTTTAATGATTTTCATTATGTGTTTTGTAGTATCCAGGAAAAAAATAATTATTGTTTTTGGAAGAACTGGGCAAGCATCATCTCTGTTGATATGCTGTAGTCCACTGGGCCTGCTGACGACGTAATCACTTTCTTAATTGCAGCATTTTCAATGTTTTGTAATTAGTGTAGTGTAATGAGCCTTGGAGCTCGAGCTAAATGAAGCCATTACAGGGTGGTGTGTCCGAGAACAGGCTGCAGTGGAGTGGAGGACATCATGGCCGTCAAGGGCACGCTAATCAGAATCAGATCAATTTTGAGGCCTCTTGTTCCTTTGCTGTCACTTTGAGATGTCAGCCCACTCTGATGATATTGAATATTCATCTGATTGACACCTAAAACAATTCTCAGGCACCTGTTGTCCTCTTTGTTTAAATTTCACATGCAAATACAGTATGTGATTGTATTCAGACTTTTTTGGTGTTTGACTTTTGTGTTTAACAGAAAATTCAACGGCTGCCACACAGTCTCGGTACAGAACCATCATTCAGATGTCCACTAATGGAGGCCAGGAGTGTCCAGATACACTGTATGAAGAAAGGGAGTGTGACGTTGTTAGTGCATGTCCAGTTTACAGGTAAAATAACATTTATATGGCATCTATTTAGTTCCTTTTTGTAATAAGGTAATTTGCTGAATGCACAAGGTAACAGTGTATCTTCCATACTATATAATAGTACAATTACATTCTAGATGATCTGGGAAGAGAGAACATTCAAATAATTTTGAATATAAAAAACTATTAATCTGTGTCAAGTTATATATTTGCTTTAAAAACAGCCAAAGGAAAAATGTAAAAATGAAATGATAATGAAAATATTGGCGTGTGAGTGAGCTCTCTGTTTATTTTTAACTAGACCGTCCTTCACAAGCAAACAGAAAAGCCTGCAGCACACTCGTCCTTCAAACTTCATAGTGGGAAGAAAAAAAAACAAAGATTGAAAGAAGATTTGTCAGGATAAAGGACGGGCAGAATGCAACAGAGGCAGAGAGATGGTGGTTTCGTAATTAATTTTTATTTGATTGCATTGATCCGTGTAATTAATTGTTTGTTGAAAGGTCATGGATTCAAACTGCAATTAGCCTACTGTAGTTCACCAACAAATTGGCAAATAAAAACAAACTTTAATGAAGACATGAAAAAAAAGTTTTAACAAGTTATTATACTAGGATTTGCAGGTTTAAAAATGTCAGCGTCTCAGTACACAGAGATAGTGCTATCTAGCTATAAGGAAAGCATAATCAATGTCAAACTACCTAATTCAATTCTTCATGCAAATAATGCATTCATTAAAAAGGCTAAGATGCTTCATGTTGTTAGAGAATGTAAATATAATTTATTAGGTTTCATAATTTATCACGCTATTCTAAAAATAAACAGCACAACAGAAACAATCGTTTACAACTGGGTCTCAGTCTACCTTCTCAAAGTAATTATTCTGTATTATTGCACAATGCATAATGATATAAATACAAATTACATATTTGGTTACAAGGTTTCAATAATGATGTGTGTTTGTTTTTGTGTACGTACTCTGAATACATCTGGATCTGCCTCCCAACTTCTCACAGACAAAAATGAAAGCACACTAATAAAATAAAGTATGTAATATTCATTTGTGCTCCCAGCAGGACTTGCCCATCAAAACACCACAGATTTAATGGTATAAAATCTAACTCCTTTTGTTTGTCTCTTATCAACTGCAAAATTATTTCTTCTTGTAGCTCATACCATTAGTCACAAACTAACAAGTGTGATAT